TATAGCTAAGTCATTATCAACAGGACATAGGACTTTTTTGTATACAGTCAAATACAAATAGGATCACATGTTCACCTGTGGTCAAGTATAAATAGCACGTCTGTCTGTGCTCAATAAATCAGGACGTTTACATATTGTCAAACATAAAAGGGTTTATGCATTTGTATTGTTAGGTAGATAATTAGTATATTCGTGGCTACAGTAGAATATAAATAGTATCTGAAAGTTTGTAAATTTGCATATTGTGAATATTTGGGAGATACCTTAATTGTCAGATTCTTGACTTGTTTCACGAATTTTCTGCTTTCGCTGTTTAGCGCTTCATTATATTAAAGGAGTTTTAAAAATGTTGGCACTTTCTCCTATTTATCAGGGGATGTTTGAATGCATTTGTTGGCACCGTGAGCGTTAGTGGTATGTATCTCTAGACGCACGTGCTACAGGACATGTCAGTGTGAACGAGATACGATGACAACTGGTGTTCGCATTACTGGCATACAAATCATTACACGGGGTGTTCAAAGCTGTGCATCAACCTAGAGTTACCATTACGTAATAATGGCATGCACGCGAACACATGTCGGAATTGTATTTTTTAATTACATGGTATCATGATTGGATACACGACATGGTAAAATAAAAATATGAAATATTGGAAATACTTTTATTATTAACCACGCCCAGAAATTACAAGTATAGAAACATTAATAGTATCAATCTCGTGTTTATCTATTCGCTGTTTCCATCAGATTTTTTTTTTATATTTTTTGTCAATAAATGTGAGATTTACCCCAAAAAGAAAGTAGATCAAGAAATAAAACAACATAATAATCATGATCAAATCTATTTTTTATTTATAAATTTGAAGTCCACCAATATTGCTAGAAAAAAAATATTCCATGATGTCCCTGTTAATAAAATATGTGATTAAGTCTTGTTTTACATTAATGAGTTGGACAGTTCCTAACATTTTGACAGCAAGATCAGTATTCTTGAAACCGTTAATATGTTCTAGCTCAGATAAAACACCCTCGTGCCTAGTTATTCACATTTTGTCAGCGAGTTGCAAAACCTTTGGAGGTCATTGTTTGAACTTGATTTTTGACCCTGTCACATGATTTAAAGGAGTTACAAGAAAAAGTAACGTAACCCACAAACAGCTAGTTTTTGCAAGAACTCAGAAGTATCAATTCACGATTTGATAAAATGAAATGAAACAGTTATACATAATAAAAGATTTGGAGAAATCCAGTACAGTTACCAGTTCGTTCCAACGCCCAAGAATGTTCTATGACGGAAGAAAGAACATTGCTGTTTTATATAGAAAAACTATTCTTATCTTAACCAATCCCATTACAAACTGATACTAAGGCGAAATGTCTGATAACAAGAGAGGGGGAACAGTTTTTGTAAGTCGACCAGACAACGCATAATGTCGGAGGAGGGTGATTCATCCAGCAGTTTGGGAACTAGGTAATCACATCTGTTCCTCCTGTAACGATACATGCGCCGTGATAGAGGAGAAGGCTCGACACGTGTAACTGCATCAGAATAACTCGGGAAGATATGTCTGTTGGGCTCGTGCATCCACGTGCATTTATCGATAACGTCATTATGATAATGTTTGTATCTATAAGATGGAAAAATTATCACTTAAAATAAACCCCCCGCTATTATGAATCTATCAGATTTCTTACTCTCTGGAATTCGTTAGATGAGGGGATTTCGGGTTGAGAAAAACTGACGTCTAAACCAATTAGAGTTGATGAAGTGTGTCGATGGTCATATATTAACATAGTTATGAACATGTCTGTTTTATATCAATAACTTAATTTTAAAATGTCATGAGCTAGTCTGGATGAGAATAAAACAGTGAATGTGTATATTAAATACTAGGGTAGGGCTAACACTGCGCTCTGTGTGGAGACGATAAGACTTGAAACACGTATACATGTATACATGTATATATATTGATAGGAAATACATGGCGGACGTGTGTATAGTAGATATACTATATATTAACTTCACGCATGTAATTACTTACCAGCGGTTGATGGCGCATACCGGAACTTTGAAAATAGTATCCCCATGTCGAAATGATCCTGTTTTCAAACAGACTTTTTCTCGCACAAATGTCCCACAAATGTTAAACTGATGAAGATCAGTTTACACTACACAACACGTGTAAAGCGTATGATTAACCAACCAATAATTCTCGTGCTTATTGGGGTAGGGAAGATAAGTCAAAAGCCTTGCTGTAGTCTGTATACTGCCAGCGAAATATCTGCTTCCTCTGTTCAGTGTTTTTGTTAGTCACCGTGTGTATATGCGTAGAACGATAAAACGTGCATTACATGTGAATTTTTAACGCGAAACAACAATGAACTTTACCACACATATGCAATTCTCCCTACATATCTGCGAGTGATACATTTGAACAATGATTTTTTTCTTTGTTTGTTTTTTGTGTATAGCTGATTCGAGTTTAGGTGCATGTGTCATCAACTAATTGCCTGCAGAGCTGTCTGATAGCGTGAAATCAATAAAACCCAGGTAAGGCTAGTCAGAACCCATTACGTAATGTATACACGTTTAAGTAACTATACTTAATATCTGCCAGAACTCACTTTTTTCTGTATTAATCCATATAACATGTACGTGTATAGCATCAGAAAAGCTGTTTTCAGTCTCTGACATTGATCAGCGCATCCTCTCAGGCATATAAATATGTATATCATTTCATATACAATATGGGGCAAAGAAGTAATTCCAACAGTGTGGACAAGTTAAGGTTGTCAAATTTTCGGAGAGATCCGCTCCTTTATCAAGACACAGTGAAACAGAACAGTTACATGTACATTTACATAATATTACAAGAAGATAGAACTGATATACTATAATTGAAAATATAGCTATTATATAAAACCAATAGTCCCCTCGGCTAAAGACAGCCGAAGGCAGCAATTAAGCTGAGAGGATCGCGGACAAGGAACGCTGATAGTCTAAATATCAGAACACTCGCTGGCTCTGCTCTATAGCGAAAGTGCACTAAGACGACTAGCCCAATGAAATTTCATATACAATATATACATAATGCAGATGATATCTCCCAGATAAATATATACATAAATGGAAGCAAAAAAAGCATTCATCCTGTTTCACTAATGTTTAAAATAACTTTCACTGTTGCAAGAAAATCTTATGAAATGCTGAATAAACTAAGATTAAGTTACTATATATATAGTACCACTTAATATCTAGTAAAGCAGGTTCAAGGGGCATGTTCGCATACCTGTAAATATAATCCAATATAAACTGTATTTAGTTTACAACAATTATGAAACAAGTCATTTGAGGTTTGAATGTGACTTTTCCTATTATTTCAAATGTGGATTATTTTCATTAATTTGAACTGAAAGTTGAAACTGTATTGGCTCTCCATCCCAACAACCTACTAGCCATAAATCCGTATTGTAGGTTCCAAGGTTCTCGGGTGGAGTTCAGTTGAAATGTTGACAAATCGACTGCGTTTGACGTTCAGTGCGATTCAAGCATGACTTCAGGTACCGAGATCCATGAGAAGGAGCGATTGAAGGTTTTAGATATTTGACCCCGTTGCCTTGATTATGTCAAGATCAGTGATTTAAAAAAAAAGTTTTTTTATCCCTTCCGCCTCCGTAAACTTCTACCAAATTTTCCAAAACACATCTTTGTTAACACATGAAAACGCAGTTTGAGATTGATAGATGAATTAAGGTAAAGTATATAGACATTGTTTACAGGTTTTCCCTCAATATGCTTTATTCCGTCTTTGCGTATTGTAGAGTTTTCTTCTCTTGTGAGCAGGTATTGTTACGTCATTTGTTTGTTAGAGTATCGTCATCAATTTTTGAGAAAACGACGTATTTTTCTCACAAAAACCAATGAGGTAACAATCAATACCTGCTCACAAGAGAAGACAACTCTGCAATACGCAAAGACGGAATAGCAAATATCACAACCCTGAAGATTTATGGTTCTTAAGAAGAAAACGTTTAGGTTAAAAAGTTTACAACGGACAAGCATAGAGAGAGACAAAAACTGTAATATCACCGTCAGTCCGTCAGTTATCATGCAAGCTTAAAGTGATTCTTTACTAAATTCACATTTCAAGAATGACATACGAACCATAAAAATCAAAGTTAACCGTCAATAAAAAACCGACCATGACATTTTGGCTCATTCACAACCANCCCCCGTGTCATTTTAGATATAATACGTCACAATATACCTGGTCGTATTGCATGGGGTATACAATCAGACTATAACCATGTTAAACCATCTCCCTATCTGCAACCTCTCCCGGGATAGTGGATTTGGGTGGGAGTATAAGTTAGTGGTGGGGGTCTCATGTCAGAATACGTTTACGTTTTTCGACTATACACGTCATCTGTGATGAATTCGGTTTTTTTTTGTTGTTTTTTATCCAAACTTCCCATTTATATATATGTCGGTTTGGTTATTGTCAAAGCAACACACTATACGCTGCAGATCTCGTAGTTGGTATGTCCATGAAGTCATCGTAAACAATTGTGACTTGGGAGTGAGGGGTGGGGGGTGGGGGTGACGTGGTTGTTTGATGAGAGTGAGAGAAAGGTTGGCGTTGTGGATAGGGGTGTTGGGTGGGGCGTGGTAGATTTAGTTTTGTTTGGAAGAACAACACCGATTCTGCAGATACCTCCATATTGGAAGCGTCTTGTGCGTACTGTGGGCTGCAGCAGGTCCATTTCTTCCAATAGGGGAGATAGTGAGGGAAAGACAAGTTGTCTCGAAATTTAATGGGTCATAAGTGGTATAGCACGGTCCACATTGTGTATTGCCTGATAGACCATTGATGGCATATCAGCAACAAGTAAGGATTGGGCCAAACGGCAATATTGAGACAAATAGTAGAGAAACATGCAATCGGGAACCGTCGGCACTTTCCGCAAATATTTTCTCGTTTACGGAAAGTTACGTACCTGCTTCTGTTTCTGCTTCTGCTGCGGCTGCGGCTGCTGAACTAGTTCTACTCTCCTTCCTTATCAACATGCTCTTCATATAGGACACCTCTGGAAGGCCTTTGACGGCAGCTTCAGTGGTCAACAAAAAGATAAATTTTGAGGGTTTAAAAAGATATTGAATGAGGACGGAAAAATCATAATGAGGAAGACACTAAAAGGTTTTTTTATGTGCAAATACTGGTATCCTTGTATTTATATAACCGTTAATGATGTAATTTATCAATCAGTCGTATTTTTGCTCTTTTCATATCTATATATATATATCTAAATATGTTTAATTTAAATATGTTTTAAGGAAATTAATGCAAATGGAAAATAAGCTATGTATATTTTATACAAGATGCTGTGGTAGGTTTACCTGTGGAAAGTCGTGTTTAATTAAAATAATTAATGAAAGAACTGAAACTCCGATAAATTAAAAAATTGACGCAGTGAACAAAAACGAATATGACGTGTAAGGGGAGATCACTCATACATGTATATGTTGTACAACACCGACGTTCCCCAACTGCAACCTCAGCTCGAGTTGGACTAAAAAAAACGGTGAAAAGGCTGTTGGCGATATTGTAGCAATGCAAGATCTTCAATAAACATATAGGCATGCTTGTAATATTTAATGACCTACCATTCCTTTCGACGATCTTGGCCTCCAAATACACGGCTGCATAATCGTAAATGGATTCTGGGTTAGTTCCGATAACACTACGGGCCAGAGATTCCATGTAGAACTGAAAGCCTGGCGGCAGTTTCCGCCGCCAGTACAGCTTCTCAGCTGTGGTCATCTTTTCTGAGTCTGAATAAATGAAATTAATCAATTAAAATACATTTAAAAGAAAAATTATTCGGCGTAAAATTCGGAAACTATAGTTTAAATCTCATAGACGGGTCTCTCGTGAATCTGTTTGTACGATCATCATATATAAGCAGGACGTACAAATTGTTTGTTTCATTTTCCCTCGACATTTTTAGTGAGTCCGGTATTTTCTGAAGACTGTGGTAATACTTTTGAAACGAAAATTTACACCATATTGCATAATAGCGTTATCTAATTGTTTCTCTCACAATATTTTTAGCTCTTTCCGTTGCGTTTCAAGATATCATGAATAATTCGAAATAATTCCTTTTTATGCGACATTCTGTTCTTCATTTTAACAAAAATATTAAGTATAAATTTAATTTCGACATTAATTTATCATATTAAAAACCGCTCAATGGTAAATCATGAAAATGTCACGACAGAATGGGAGATCGTACAGCATCGTGTCAAAGGTATTCGCGACTTTTCCGGATTTACTTCATATTTCCAGCATTTTTAGGGGAAACTGATCGTGTGTCGGACACATTTTACATGAGATAGTCTCTGTACATTAGAAACGTAAAAAAAGTAAAGGCAAAAGAACCTGATTGGAGCAATCGGATATCTTGGGGTTTACCAATGTCTTTCGTTTTCTATCTTTATTTCGTTGAATTTTGTTCTGAAGCCAAATATTGATCCACTGAAAATCAACGAAACCAGTTGATGTGTTATCTTAAAATACATTTTTTCCTAGGAACATTTTGAAAAATATGGTGGAATATTCTAGGAAATAGAATGTATATCACTGCAATTATTTTTTGTGAGACATAATGGCCTAGTGAAATCGGTTTTATCTGAATAACTTGTCATATTTAGAAAACCACTCAACGCAAATGTATTCATATAATAAAGACTTGACATGTATGCATTGAAACGAAGGCGGAAAGATATTTTTTGGCCAATTTACTATCATATTATATAATAATAGTAATAAAAAAATATTCAGTTAAAAGACATGTGTTACAGGGTTAAAATGCATTTTTACACCATTTGGAATCACAGATCTTTTGAATCACAGTTCTAGTTACATTTATCACAAATTGTTTACAAATGCATGAGTAGCAATAAAACATGAATAAAATATATGACAGTTATAATTTAAAGTTTTGAGTTTCAAATTTCCATAAAAACTTATTAGCCTTTACCCAGGATGGCCCATAAAAGCTGATAAAAACAACTTATTTCAAATGGGGTCCTAAATTAATTAGTATTCTAAGAAACGGGTAATTATATTGTTCTGTTACCAATTGAAGACCCAGATAATTTTCTTGTTTGTGCCAAACTTCATCATTTTTTGACAAAAAACGAAGTCAGGAAAAAGTAATTTTTGAAAAGTATTTAGAGTAACATACTAAGAATTACTATAATAATTTGGAAAAAAGGCAGTCTAACGTGAAAAACGTAATTCAGGTCACTGTATATAAGCACTAATACATATCAAAGGTCTCTGCTTTCTCCATGTATAAAATTGGATTTTGTTACAAACATTCAATACAGTGTGAATATACTCAAAATGAGTTTTACACCCGATAAATGACGAAGAAGAAGATTTAAGTCGCAACTAATAAGACAAGGACATAAAATCAATTATGGATGCCTTTAAAGTTTTCCATAGATCCTGAATCCTGCTGCTGTGCTAAAATCAAACTCGCAGAACTATGTGTAAGGGCTTTTGCAGAAATGATGTTCTTGTTCGCAAAAAATAAACAGTAAATAAATGAAAATGCATTTATACATTACCCTATGCCCTTGTTGGCTCTCTGTTTTCGCTTAGGATAAAGTTCCCCGTCCCTTATCCCGACAAATCGGTTGTTCCTTTAACGTCCCATCTCAAATTGAAAAATGATAGAAATGGAACTTCCTGTTATTGTTGTCATGGTGAGACTCCACTGTCGATGACGTCACAGTGCTGTTACAAGAAAAAATAAGTAAACTGCTGTTTTGGATATATGCACCTTACCCTAGTAACTTAAATGGTTATTCAAGTTATATTTGTGTTATATACACAAAAATGCAATATTGGTCTGAATTTTATTTTGACCAATCAATATGCCCGAGATATATTTACTCCGTAACGACAATGTATACTGTTGTGACTTCCGGTTACTAGTGTTGATCGAAAGTAAACAGAGCAACAATGAGCATTCGACAAGTCAGCCCTAGTGTTGTCGATTGGGGAAATTCATAAACTCTGACATAAAAACATGTTCTTGGTAAGTGTCGTTTAGCTCATTTGAAATAATCATTTGTTCTGTCGCAAACACATGAGATACTTTCCTACCGGCTTCACACACGATCTCACAGTCACACATGACATATGCGTGAAAGTTCATTATGTTCACGCGGGTCTCGGCATGCATATTTCACCTTTGTCCATCTAATTTCATTATACTTCAATTTGAAGTTGTAAGTTTGTATATATTCCTCTTTGCTTGTGTGAATGTATTTAGAAGTGTGCGACCACGGGAAGATGGATCATGCTTGAAAAACAACAGCGTTACACACATTTTTGTGATACAACTGCTGATACAACGTTATGCTTTTTCACTTTTTATTGTCAGACTCAATACCTCAAAATTTACATGGTTGTTTCCTGTCTTTCGTATGTATTTCTTCCCCTTTAATAGTTAAACAAAATTATGGGAAAAAAACATTCCTTTTGATATGAAGCTTCATGGAGAGGGGGGAGGGGGATAATAAAGTTTGGAAGTCAAAAGAGATTCATTGACATTGGCTTTCATAAACTGGTAAAGATTTAAAACATGAAAGTAAACATTCAGTCCCTGAATGAAAACTGTATCTGCAATATTGAAATGACCCTTTGAACAGTTAAGGGTGGGGAGACCAATAGAACCTTCAATGCACAGTGACACACAAATTATCCATTTTGTGAGTGTACAATTTTGGCCTAAGTATACAATGTGCTCAAGATTTATGAAATAAATCAAGTTTGTGCCTTGCTCTTTATTAGTGATCAAATAGTCAAGAGCCATTCTGCTAAACAGAAATATATGTTGTTGGCAAAATGAATCAAGATATATCTGCATCATCATGGTCAATGTTAATCATGTAAGCATCACCATGATTTGACACTTGTGTCAAATTATAAAGTAATGGTAATTGGTTCTATAATCATAATCTGGTAATGACAATGTAATCCATTGATTATTGATAATTATACAGATTAAGTGCTCTATGCCAATGGAATATTATATCTGTAAAGAGAAAAGTTATACTTTTTTTTAGCTGTATACGTACTGAGCTATATTTTCAAAGATTTCACTTTTTATCAAAATAAAGCAGAGTTGCGTAAAACTGATGTTTTCCCTTTTGAATGACTTTTGTAATAATCTTAATTTTACGTGAAAATAGCTCAAAAAGCCTCAATCGACAGTGTGGATCAGCTGTTATAGTACTATAGGCTAACTTTAAAATACTTAAGTTGGGTTTTGTATATATATTTTGTTGCAAATATAATTGATTTTCACATAAATGTCTTTATAAAAAATCTTTTTGAAGTTTTGATTATATGTATAACAGACAGTATACATATTTACTTTTCATTTATGATTGAAAACTGAACACAGACAGTCATTTAATGTCTGTTTTACATTGTAAATAAACTGTTAAGCTCTAAATAAGTTATTCTCAATGAGGAATTATTATAGAACAAAGCACTTTTTGGAGATCAGAAAAATTCATACCCAATGCATCAAAATGTTTTCAAAATCATTTTAGAATTTGATAAATATTATTATTTATAATATTAACTCTTTGACTAGCATGTTTAAACATTTTCTTTTTTTCTTTTTTTTTCATATTATTTCTGATGTTGCCTTTGATGTTGCAGTGCTGGATGCATATATTTGTGTTACTATTTAGTTGAAATATTTTATATTTTAATACACACATTTAATTTATTTTTGATTGTAGTATAATTTAGAAATTGTCAAGAAAATGATTGAAAAGGACAATTTTTTGTGTGTTATTCAGTTCGTTGATGACCGACATTAAAAATATATTGAAAAACTTTGCGTCCTGTGTATGGTAGTTCCCCTGGTTTAATAACATAACAAGCAGGTATTATATAAGTGTGTACTCTAGTTTATCTACTCTACCGAGACTATGCTGATTATTAGATCTGTATGATACACAGGGTACACTGTCCAAAGGTACACAATGACAATTTATACAACAGACTATAGTGACATGGTCATGATGGTGTTGATTAATTTGTTATTTGTATAATGATAATGTATATCAGTTCGTGTGTATATCATGTATCTCTCTACCATAACACATGATGAGAGAATAACAGCGATTTTTCTTCCTATACTTTTCACATGAGTCTGTGCACCTTGTGACTTAGGGAAAATATCACATAGAAAAAGAATCATTTTGGGAAAATAAAGAGATCTTTAATTTGCATTATATTGGGAAAATACAGAAGAAATTTTCAAGGAAAATTGGTCTGTATAAGGCCAAATTATTGATTTACCATAGAAAATCTCTGAATAATGTGTTCAACCTGGGTGTTTATATTAGTAATTTGGGGAAAAAATAATGCTTGCAAAAAAATTTCCAAAATTCCCAAAAATGTCCTTCATAGGCGCTTTCTTCAAATAAGATAGTAACTTACATTGACAAGAAAAAAGGATACAGAATAGGTTGCTTTTTAGGTTGATTACAGTATTGAGCAATTTTTCATGCATGGAGAATCAAACCTTCATTTTTTTCTAGTTTCATGTAGTGCTTGTGATGGTATACATGAGTAGATACTTGTATATATGAAATATTACTGAAAATTGTGTAAAATTTTATCAATTTACCTGGTCTATATTGAACAGACATTTACCGCCCTTGTTTTAGGGAAACAGGATTCTTTGTTATGGGCGGATTGGTCGAGTGGTTAACACTCCGGCCTTCCACGCAGCCGGCCGGGGTTCGATCCCCGAAGTCGGCATAAGCATGGATGTTCAAAGAATGTTTTTCTCCTGCCCACACAACTCCAACAACCCAGGTGGAGTATAAATTGGTCTGGGGTGGATGTTGCGTTATCTGTGCTAGCGCTGTAGCATTTAAGTGAGGTGGCACTATAAATGATGCCGTTGGAAGCACGGTCCCATTACAAACTGAACACATTACATCTCCAGCACACACGCAGGCATAGACACATACGGAGATATAGCCAGGTGGTATAGGACTAGTAGTTAGCACCTGATAAGGCAGCTCCTGCGAATTCCTCAAAAACTGTTTTGAATAACGTATGTGCTAATTGTATTAATTGTATATCTATGTACTGTAAAGCGCTTTAGAGTGGCTTATGTTAGCTAGATATATAGGGCACTATATCAAATGTTGTGTATTTATTTATTTTGTTTCCCAGACAATATGAAAGAAACATGAAACATCTAAGGGAAACAAAGAATTGTGTTTCCCTACCACAATAGGTATTTTATTATACAAAAATAGAACAATAACCCAGTTGTAAATATATATAAAAGTTGACGCACCCTTGTTGTCATTTTATTCAATCATTTGGAACTTGCGTGTGGGTGGGTTCTGTCGATTTTTTCTAGGGATGTTCTGAATAAGAGAGTTTATAGGAAATGTTTAAAATTGAGCTAGATGGCAACATGATGTTATATGTGCCTGTCATGTTATCAACACAATCCAAATCGACACACTCTAATATCAAATAAAAATTGAGGGGATTCAGTGTAGTAGGATTTTATCAATCCCAACATTAACCCTTTCACCCCTATGTAACTTTAGTAAACTCTACCATGCATTGATCTGGATGAGTCCATTATGGTCCACAGTGGTGAAAGGGTTAAAGGTTAAGGTCAGATAACTGTTGTATTGTATTATAATACCTGGTTGCTATCTTTTCAGTGAACGTCTGTGGCCTAGTAACTGTCCGTCACTGATGATACGGCGAGCTACAACTGACAGCTGACTCTACTGACCATGTCGGGGTCCATCTTGACCGCCCTGTGTTACTCCTTCATGTGGAGTACGATGTACTTCACACTGTGCCTCATTAACTCGAAAAAAAGCTACGAGTGGCACTGCCGCACGGTGACGGCCATTCATGCATCAGTTGTCTCGATTCTCAGTGCCTGGTGTGGCTTCGTCCAGGGTCCATGGCCGTTCACACATGCAGGTTTGTTTATTGTTAATAGGGGTGGACAATAATATTAGAATACCAATATACTGCAATAGTTGTCTAGCAATATACGGAATTTGATTTTAAAATAGAAATGGAGCAATAACTCACATTTATTTTGAATCACTTTGTTTTAGATTTTAGCAGAAATTTAAAATATTCTGGCTGAAATAATGTTAAACATTTGATGAAATTTATCCAAATTTAGCTTGCTTGGTGCGATAAACTTTTAATTTCACTTATAAATTGTGTGCAGTAATATGTCATAACATTTTACAACATCAGAATCTTGAAACTTAAGTCAGTGTAAATTTGCCTACAGCTGCATTTTATAATCAGCTTGACTGCCATTCATTTGCTAGAACATTAACAAAATTAAATCTAAAAAAATCTGAATGATCTAATCCCTGTCAACTTCATCTGGTTATGTTATAACCTGGAACAGTATTGGAAGAGAAGTCACGTGTCAATGAACCATTTCTAATAAGTTGTTTGAGAGTACATGTGTGCTTGTTTTCCACAGGTGGGCCCAGTACGCCTTTACAGCTGGTAACAACAGAAATCTGTCTCGGCTACTTTCTCTTTGATTTCACCTGGTGCCTTTACTTCCGGTCTGAGGGTAAAAAAAATCATAAATATTGAAATATTATCCATGAGCTTGGAGCATAGGATAAAAAAGCATTTTGAATTGTCATGATTCGGATATATATATCCTGTATTGCATTAACACCCATCATACTCGAGGAGTTATGCTCACTTACAATCTCTGCACCCCTGGAATGTGTCATGGTGAAATTGTAGACACAGTGACACTTCTAGGTTAAAAAAAGACTGACTAATCGCTTAGCCAATTCCTCGGCATGAGAATTACAATTTCACTGTTTTTTGCTGTACATCAAAGGATCAAACTACATCTTCTTCTCTCGTCCACAAGGTGCACGTGGTGCACACTGAGCCTTCAATTTTGCCACGAAATATTCCAGCGGTGCAGACACCATAATCCCTGGAGTATCGAGAAAGTTGCATAAATTATCAGTAATGAACCTATTGACATTATGTATAGAAAATGGGACCAGTAAACAATACAAAATACATGTGAAGACATATAGCTCTTTGTCTGTTTGCAGGAAAAGAACAAAGTTATAAAAAGCACTGCTCTATCCGACCGATAGATTTGAAAAAATACTTGCCCGAAGATAAAATACTGTTTACCAGGAAATTTTTGCTGCAGTTTAAATTTCCCCTTTTTCACCTACTGTAATGAGGGCAAATTTGTCTTCACAGTGAACGTTTGAAAATAAAATAATATACATGTATAGAAATTAAAAATGAGGGGCGAATTTACTGTTTGGACTATCAACATCTAAGGGGCGAAAAATGTCCTGGTACATGTATGTATAGTATATCGTTCCAAAAATTATATAAATAAATACAGTTACTTTTCATGGAATTTGAAAAAGACTTTATGGTAAATAGTTTGGTCTTTTAACAAAACAAAATTGTACTGCCTTTCCATAAATTGGTTATATGATTTTTTTTCTCCTTAATGGGATGTTAGAGTTTCTCTTTACTTCGTTTGGAATTTCCGGTTTCATCCCTAGCAGAACCATTTAAAATTATAATATTAATAAGATGGAACATACATGCATATTATTACAGAGTAGTCTCCCCTTAGACCTGTTATGAGAACAGAGTTTTGATTCCCTTTATACCTTTTGTCCTGTTGTAGGCTTAGTGATGCTGGTCCACCACATGGTCAGTATATTTGGATTGACCTTCTCCGCCGTCACCGGACACTACGGCACGGAACTGATAGCCGCTATCTTCGGCAGTGAAGCCACCAATCCTCTACTGCAAATGCGATGGTTCCTGAAGGAAACCGGAAAATACAACACCTTATTGGGAGAGATTGTAGACCACGGTTTTGTATTTATGTTCGGGTTTCTACGAATTGGGATAGGATCCTGTCTATTGTATTCTTACTTCCAACAAGATACGGACATTCTTGGGCGTCTTTCAGGTATCGTACTCTATGCAATTAGTTGGATGTTTTGGATAAGTATTGTGCAATATGCTATTCGAAAGTATAAGAAAAAGTTCAAGAAATGGGCCGAACTTGCAGATGCCAAAAAACAGGAGTCGAGCAGTTCAAAGGTACTGAAAGTGAACGGACACAATGAGCTCACCAATGGCGGCCTTTGTATGAATGGGTTAGCCAATGATAGCCTTTCTAACAAACTAGTATCGCAGACCATGTCCAATGGTGACTTGAACTTCAATACTAGAGAGATTATCGAAGAAAATGGAAATGGAAACATTGAGGAGTCCTTGAATGGCTACCTACATAGAAGGAACACTGCTAGTCAGGAAAAGCCTTAGCTTCACTCCATATGTACATTGATATTTATGGTGAATTCTGCTCAGATTTATTTTGATAATGGTTGTGTAGGTGTGTTGAAACTTACACTGCATCAGTTTCATCTTGTGATATTTTGTGCTGTGGATTCTTGTTTATTTTTATAGTCGTCCTATATTTTTCTAGGAGCCTATTGATCAAACTTCCAAAATGTTCAGTCAAATTTTGAAATTTTGATATGTTCCCATAGTTATATCTGTTCAAAATTGATAAATTCATGTGGTTTTTTTAAGTGATATCATTAATTTAAACCCTAAATTAAACTTGTTTTGATTTCTAAGAAAATAAAAGTTTCACATCACATGTTAAAAAGCTTTATTACAACTACGGTAGGTCTGAATGCTTTGTTTCAAATTTGTATCATAGCTACTGAACTGGACTGTTTTTATCAGCAATGGTGGTGGCTGCGAGGAAAACGTTTTGCATGATTTGGGTTTGCAAACCAACTCAGCTACATGCTAAATTTTAGAATCCAGGCCCAGTGTGTTTGCCTGCATTGAAACAAGAATCCTAAGACGAAAATATGTTTTTTGTCGATAATATAATTTCCAGTTACTCATTGTAGGCAATATTATCCATTCACCCCTGAAGACACATTTGAACTCTTCCAATCCATAGGTTGGAACAGTTCATTATGAAATTTCAGGGGTGAATGAGTTAAATTATCTCAAAATGGCAGAATAAGGTGTTTTTCCAAGGATCCTTGAATGGCAAGATGTTTTTTGTAGATAATATCAGTTGTAGGAAATATATAATAACTAATATCTAAAAAGGAAAAATAAGATATTTATAGATATGAATTGCAATTCTCTTAAAGCTGTAAAATACAGAAATACTCTCCTAAATTTCATGTACCATATGTTTATACAGTTTTTCACAATAGATTGAGTATTTTATATTTTTTTATTTATAAATATTTAATTTGTACACTGGTGATTTTTGTTGTGTAGCACTTAACACGGATGTCAAGTTTATTTGATATTTTTCTTACGCTTTATGTGGAAAATATTTTCATACGAATTCATTATTTTGTATTATTGACATGCTATATATATATATATATATATGTATTTGGCATTCTTTGTATACTATGTATACTCTTTTCCATAAAAAAAATGGTTAATTTCATGGATAAGTAAAACAAGGAATTCTGCCTACAAGGTCATAGTGTATTGTTCATGTGTAAATTTATTGATTGTCCTCCGAAGATACTGGGACAAATTCATGTGTGTATTATTAGGGGAATTGAAGTAAAATCATATATTTTTTTCTTCTTTCTTTTGTGAGAGTGCTAGAAGATATTCCAATTTCTTTAACAATGAATTTCTTCAGTTTTGTTTTAAACAGGAATAACAATCAGAAGGCAAAATATATACATTGTAATTTTATGTTAAAAGTTTGGTGGTCAGAGATCTAAGTAATCGGTATTTACCTGTACATTGTGAGACATAGGGGAAAATGTGGCCCATCTAAATTACAAGAAGTGTTTGTCTATTCCACCTAATATATATAATATAAACTTTATCTATTTACAAACATATTAATCACTCTTGTTGGCCCAATTGTTAGCATGCAGGGGGGGGGGGGGGGGGTCTTAATGTGGGAGGAACCCAAAGTACCCAGGGGGAAAAAACATGTGGTCAGGCAGGTGACCCCATACCTTTTCAAGTCTAATTGGAGAATCAAACATGGCCGCCTTGGTGAAAAGCATGTGTATTATCCACTGTGCCATATGACCGCACCTCATATATATACCGGGATACATTTTTGAAATAGCTCTGGGCAAATTTTTCAAAAAAGCCACAATTATATAATCAGAGTGCGAATATTGTATCTTGTATCTTGACAAAATGGAAATGAAAGGGTATACATGTCTTATATACATTTACTTATTTATGTTACTTACTTGTAAAAGTGTTGTGATTTTCTGTCGTTCATTTTGATCGTGACCATTACAAGGCTAGGCCAGTCCTCGAAATCTTGTGAAATGATTTGAAACTATTTTATATTAAGCTTCAAAATCTTTTGTCAAATTGTATGAGATTGCTAACACAGAGATAGATAGACTTTCTGTCTTTCATTTTGATTGTGACTTTACTAAAGCTAGGCCAGTCTTTGAAATGTTGTGATAATAATTTCAAAAATATGTATTAAGCTTCAAAACCTTTTGTCAAATTGTATTAGATTGCTAACACAGAGATATATAGACTTTCTGTCTTTCATTTTGATTGTGACTTTACTATGGCTAGGCCAGTCTTTGAAATGTTGTGAAAATAATTCGAAAAAATATATGAACCTAACACTTTTGTCAAAATGTAGCAAAGAGATTTATTCTGACAATATACATAAAATATGTACAGGGTTTACGATCCTTTAACCCTTTCACCACTATAGACCATAATGGACTCATCCAGATAAATGTATGGTAGAGTCTACTGAAGTTACCTAGGGGTGAAAGGGTTAACAGTCAACTCTGTTAACCCTTTCATCCCTATGCAACTTCAGTAGACTCTACCATATGTATTGATCTGGGTGTGTCCATTGTAGTCTATAGTGGTGAAAGGGTCAACCATTTGTTCAATTACAGCCATATACAGGAACACACAAATTTGATTGTAACAGGAACTGGAATGGGTCGATCGCCGGTAACCAGGTAGCTCAATTGGTTAGAGTGTCGGTCTAGAGTTTGTAGGGTCCCGGGCTTCGAACCCTGGTCTGCCCGTGCATTTTTCCTCTCCTGTTATATTTGGCACCCAACAAAATATTCTCACATAAGGTGGTTTAGGGTTTTGTGTGTCTTCGGGGTTGAAGACTTTTATTAAAGGTGGGAGGAATGTAGCGGAACTGGACTGGGTTGATCAGCAGCAGCCAGGTAGCTAAATTAGTTAGAGCGGCCATCTCGAGTTTGAGGATCCCAGGTTCAAACCCCAGTCTGGCTGTGTATTTTTCCTCTCCTGTAACATGATTTTGGCTGAAGTTGATGGCTATTTAAGTATTAAAGAATGAAACATAATATTTTTCAATATTATTAAATTGTTTCAAAATTATTTCAGTGTATACCTGCGAGATGACCGTCGAGATGACCGGTTTTGAAGCTTGTTAGAAGATCAGAGCTGTGATGTTATTAATTTTCTTTGATGCAGGGTAATCTAAAATGTCTATATACAATATAATACTAAAATAACCTTCATTTAATCTACATAAGGCTCAGTTAAGATCAAATCTTAATTGGCTTAATGAGAATTTTACACAAAAAGATCAAAAATCTAAAAATGAAGTTGTAAAAATTACAAACAATCATCTGAAAACAAACACAAAATAAATGTTATTTTCTCAAAATTCTTATTTTGAAAATTTGGGTAAATGACTATAAAGTTATCCTGATGTTGAAAAACTAGGCCTATTGTATATATACATGTATAGTGTAAATAATTTTGTTTGATAAAATATTTGTTTAGTTCATAATTTATGTTATTTAAACTGATTTATTTCATAATTTATGTTCATTAAACTGATAAATGCAATTATAATGTTAAAGTATATATTTGTTTTTGTTGTTTTTGTTGTTGTGTGAAAAATCATATACATCTAGTGCATCTACCCCAGAATAACAATGTAGTTGAGGGGTAGTTTTTGTTTAAAAGAAATGTATGGATGATACAAGTTTTTGTCCAAAACTAGCACTGAATGAATTAATGAATTATTGAAAAACTTAATAAATGCTGTCTGCTATTTTCATATTTGTAAAAATTGAAAATTTAGTATAAATGTCTTGGAATGAAAAAATATTTGGTAAAGGGTGAAGGATAGATTATTCTGAAATCATTTTTATCAAAGCTTTTTCAGCTTTATGACTCAAATATGGTATAATTTGAATTGGGGATATTTACAATATTAATATTCATTTCCTCGGAAGAAAAATTGTGCACTCTCAAGTAATATATACACAAATTTCTGGGAAACAATTTTCAAAAAATTAATTTGAAAACTTCAATTTACTTATTAACCCTTTCACCCCTATGTATCTTTAGTAAACTCTTCCATGCATTTATCTGGATGGGTCCATTATGGTCCAGTGGTGAAAGGGTTAAGCTTATGCACATTGGTGTGCCTCTTACCAATGTTAAGGAAATTGGTTATGTATAGATCAGAAGACAAATACCTGTAGGTGTACATGTGACATCACATTGGAGACAGCAGACATAAATCAATATCCAGGTGTTGAGGCCTCAAGGATGGCAAAAAAAAACCAGGTTTTTGTAGAATATTGCCATACGTTATCAGTTGAAATGTGTCCAAAAGTGTTTTTTTCATTAGCAGTGTCTTGCTAATGCTGAAAACAATATGTACATTATAAACTCCTAGGCGTCCAAGGACTTGAGGAAGAAATGAAGATTCTTTACGTATACAAGCACATGTAGTCAGTTTGAAGACTTGAGACACTGAAGATCATTCACCAAATTCTGTTACATGTATTGTTTCTTACCACCTCGGTGCATTGTTTTTGTAAATATTCTGCCGCGATTATTACAATATATTTAAACTATCTACAAATAAATTATTTTCCATTAAAAAAACATTTTTTGTTTTCTCTCAGTATTTTCATGAACGCAACAATCGACGACTCGGTATACCGTTGTTGTCTACTGCTGTTTATTTCCATTCATTTGTACGTGTAGTGGAACTGGACTTGGTGGATTGTGGCGCCCAGGCACCTCAATCATCTAAAGCTTGGGAGGGTCCCGAGTTCAAATCCTCGTCTGGCAGTGCATTTATCTGAATTCCTGTTTCAATATTGTGAAGCTTGCCAATTTACCTTGGTACAATCACTGGATGAATCCTGGAGGCTGGACAACGGAATACCTGAATAGTTGTGCCTCAGAGTCGAGGGGGGAGACTAAGAATAAGGAGCGAGAAATGTAAGGAATCTGGTCTTTAATTACCGTTTTTCATTTTCATCCATTTGTATGTGAAGTGGAACTGGACTTGGTCGATAGTTGTTTTGACCAGGTAGGTCAACTGGTAGAGCTTCAATCTAGACTTCAGAGGGTCCTGAGTTCGAATCCCAGTTAAGCCTTGCATTTCCCCTTCTTCTTTTACACATGATAGTTATCAAAATTGTGTACATCAGGGCTTTAGTTTTATATATAGTACATGTGCACACAAATTATCTCCCTTCCATTATGTGGTAAACTCATCAAAGTTGATTGAAATATCAATATCTCTGTTGTATCTGAATAGTTCAGTATATTTAAACTATTGTTTTAAATATCATAATAACCCCATTTTATTAAAGTTTTAAACATGCATCATGCGCTTGGAAGCGACATATCAGTAAACGATGTGAATACATTGTATATGAATTATTTTATTAGATTCATTAGAGTCCAATGTCAGGAGTGTTGTTTTTAAGCTCGTCCCAAAAACATCTCTCACAAACCAGGAGGATAAATAGTCCCAATAAAACGCCACACTGATTTTCTGACGACACAGTGGCTTTAGCTTGTGAATGCTGCCTGTATTTATTTGGTGAAAGGGACACAACTCTTTACACATTACCTACATCTGAATCCTTTAAACAAATTGGTCAACATTTGTCTTATTGTCAGGTGTTGATGAAAATGTTTTTTTTCCTTGTAGTACTGATATCGGCTCAGCCTGGTTTGTGAGTTTTGCATCTGGGCTTATATATATATTTGCAGGTAAACATTTTGTCAAGAAAGTGTGAGTAAACTACCCGACTACTACATGTAATATGTCGGGATGAATGGTGACCTAGCTTGTATGAAGTCATCACTTGGGACAGGAATTTACTTTACATGGCAAAGCATTTTGTGCAATCAACAGTCCTGCGCTTATGGTTATCAATACTAGAAAATGTAAGACATGAATGCCCCAACAACTATAAGGGACAAGTTTCAGTTTGATGTTCTATACGACTTTGATTTCGACACCCTGAAATATGTACGCATTTAAGGCATGATCCTACTTCATGTTGATGACTTTCTATACATAGCAACTGTGACCTTGGCCTTTGAACCTTCACAAGGTATATAATCATACTTGCCCTTTGCAATAAAGTTTGATCAAAATCCATCCAGAAATAAAGTCAGTAGACTAATGACACTGAATTGGTTGATGATTTTCTAAAACAAGAGTACCACGGGGCGGAACAATATACGCCTGTCGAATGCCATATAGTGTTATATACTTTCTTACATTGAAGTAAGATCTGCATTATTCTAAGAGTGGTTAGCTGACATGCTATAAACAAGAGGTCCATTCCACCTGTATCGCTCACCTGGTTTTATATTTAAGTCATTACAACTGAATGCATTAGTACATCTTTATATGAAATTTCCTCAAAACCAGACAAGATCTATGTTCTAACCCAACTGGGACCACAATATCTGACTTTCAACTAATCAGAGACCTCCATTGAGTTGCCATGTTAACAGATTTTGAAATAAGTAATGTCATATTACAGGGTGTAATTAGACAATACTTTAATTTTCATTCAACTATAAGCTTTTATATTTACCTTAGAAACCATTTTTTTTTAACAATTTATGAAAACTACACCATAGAATATGATAATCTAGCTGTACAATTTCTTAGGACCTTAGGGGTCAAATCAACCTCATTCAATTAAAAAACATTTGTTCCTCCTCAATAATGTTTTTGACAAAATTTTGTACAATCCACTCATGCAACTAGGGGATTTTAAATCAAAATATTAAGATAATTTTCCTCTTTGGGGCCCGGTCTTCCTAGCTCCAGTCTCATTTATTTAGGAAACGATTACCCTCCCCCAATGAAGTTTCAGAGCAAATTTGGTTGAAATCTTCTCTGGCGTTTAGGAGGCGATGCGTTTTCAAGCAAATTTAGCCAAGTTCCTCTTCAGCACCCCCCCTCCCCCTTGCCTCAGGGGTCGAACGAACCTCATTTATTTAAGAAATGATTGCCCTCCCCTAGTGATGCTTCAGACTAAATCTGGTTAAAATCCTCTTTGGCGTTTAGGAGGAGATAGAATTTAAAGAAAAAGTTGATGAACGACGACCGGGGCTGTGCCACGGCATAAGCTCACTATGGTTCTTCGGACCTTGGGAGCTAAAAATGTAGGAGAAAATCTCTGGACAAATTTTTTAACTTGGTAGTTGCGGAGTATAAAAGATACACCCCAGAAAAAGTGACAGTCAATAGACATAGGACTATATCTTTATTAATAGAGGGGCACACAGCCTTATATCATGTGAAATGATGGCCTTTACCTTTGGCATATATCATGACATCAGGTATTAGAAGTCGCATGCATATTCACATTATTGTACACTGTACAGTACTATATTTCAAGAGCGAAGTAAAACAACAATTATTTTTTCTTTCAATCATTATTTATTAATGATTCCCCCAAAGTTTCCCCATCACAGTTCAGTGTTCACTTGGCCTTCGTCTTTTCCTTGACCTGTGCGGCGATTCTGTCCAGATCTTTCTGTCCCTGGCTGGTCAGTTTACGTCCACCATTAGCGTCCTTCTCGACCAGCTTCTGTGACTCAAGAGCCTGGAGGACTCGTCGGGAAACAGAACCGGAGGCACGGCAGTAATGGCTGGGGACTGTTCCATTACGTTTACGATCTAAAATATATTTAATCATTATGAGTATCTTCATTGGAGCATAATAAAATGTGCTGATGGAGAGGTAACTCACAATGTGTCAATGTTAAGACAAAATTATTTTGGCAATTTCAATCTCGATGAACATTTAAAGAAATTTACCATGTAATTTAAAACAGAAATAAATTCTAATGAGTGATGGTTTTAGAGGATACCGATTGACAGACATAATCTTCAACACTACTGCTGATTGGTCAAGACACATAATAAACTGTGAGTGTGATTTCTTTATACTATTGGGTCCAGCTAACTTCTAAGCGAACACAAATATCAACACCATATAGAAGTTATATATATTTGAAAGATATGTATTCCTAAGACATTTTGTAAATTTACATTTTCAAATATTTTGACTACCCTCTTTCTGCTTCAATAAGCTGCACACCTTTGAGATTCAAATTCCTAATCAATACTTGAGAAATAAACAGTAGCACAACTGACAAAATGTACTTCCTAGAATTCTGATTAAACCTCTTCCTAGAATTCTGATTAAACGTCATCCTAGAATTCTGATTTAACGTCTGGGCAAACGTTTTTAGGAGGAGATTTGCAATCTTTTTTCCTTCTACAAATGAGGCATTCTCATTTGAATCAAAGCTTGTTTTAACCTTGATGAAAACTCACATATGAATCTTATTTAGGATTGTAATGCTGACAATGTTTAGCAGATTACAGCGAAACTCACAATATATATATTGAAAAAATTATCTTCTTTCTAAATCATAAATTAGATTTCAAAATCATCATATTTACTGCTATATTGTGAGATTTGTCAGGTCTGAATGTGATAAGGGGTCAATATCAACTACTGCTGTTAATCATTACATATATATACTGAAGCACATTTTGAAATCTGTATAAGATTCCCCTCCCTATTGTCAGAGTGCTATGAATGGTACATGTCTACGACTGTCAAATCTGTTGGGGGGGGGGGGGATTGTTCAATGTAAGTGTAAATCATTACCAAGGTATGTTGATGTTCCTATGCAGACTTACCTCCGTAAATTTTAGTTAGAGCTCCAACACCAGCTGGGGAACGGATGTACAGATGGCGGCAGATTGATGCTGGGAAAAGATATATATATATATTTATTGTATGTTCTAAAAGTCAGTATCTCAGATTTTATATACATTTTCAAATTAAATTTATTTCATATCAAATGCTGTAATTGACAATTAAGTCAAAACATGCATGTATTTTCGCTTCATCTGTAAATATTTGTTTGTGAATGCAAAACGTTTTTTTATGGTACATGTACTACATACAATATACAATTTGTTTATTGCGATCCAAACGGTTAACAGTTGGACCAAGTAATCTGATGCTGCTTTCAGGAGAGCCTTGTCAAAGTCTTGCAAGGCTTGCATAAACATTTGCAGGTCTGTCAGGATTTATACCCAACAAGAGACACATGTCATGGGCCTTAACGGTCACCCGAGTCCTACAGTATTTATTTTTGTTGTTGAAATATGAAGTGGAGATAATGATGTCTATCACCCCTACCAATTTGAGTATACAAAAAAAGTTCAGTATAACGTTAAGTCAAGTTTGTCAGGACCACAAATTGATCATTCCTAGAATGAGTTTCAGTTAAATCGGCCTCTTAGAACTTGATTTTAAGTTTGAAATAGTTTGTTTTTTTTCAAAATGGAGGCCGTGGCAGCCATATAGAATTTTTGATCATCCCGAAAAATAGGCAACTTTGTTAGGAACATGGGCCGATCATTCCTACCAAGTTTCAGTTAAATCAGCCCAGTAGAACTCTACTTTAAGTTTGAAATAGTTTTTTCAAAATGGCGGGCTTGGCGACCATATTGGATTTCTGATCACCCGAAAATACTTTGTCAGGACCATGAGTCGATCATTCCTATTAAGTTTCAGTTATATCGGCCCAGTAGAACTTGACTTTAGGTTTGAAATAATTTTTCAAAATGGTAAAGCTAAAGCTCAGGTGACCTAAAAATGTTACATTTATGAACAAACAAACCGGTTGAACCAGATATGTGAAAGGGGCCCAAATTAACAGGGGTGATAAAACTTGGATTTGAATGATTACATGAAAAGTCTACTATTGAGAGGTAAAAGAAAAAGATTTCGTCCTCCATAATTACAAAATTATTGTTTTATTAATTTCAGCTATCATTCACTACACAAACCTAATTCAAGTTTTCTTTTTAAATCTCCTAATTAATTGAAAGGTTTTTAACTTACACGGACTGTCATCTTTTAATTAACATATTTATAGAGGATCTGTCATAAGTTTCCCTTCATATTAGATTTATGATAAAAGTTTTTGATTTTTCATGATTGCAGCCTGAACGAATGGCACATTCTTTTTATCATATAATATAAAGTAAACTGTATAATTGTGATCTGAAACTAATACTTTGCATTTGGCCGCCTCAGAAACCTTGAAAATTGCGTCTGCTTAACAATGATGTGATGTCACATTGATTGTTCCTATTCGATTGTGACATCATTTCCGGATAATCATATTACACATGTTGCCTTTGCATAATTTATGTGTTGGCTTTATGACACTGCATAACACAGTATTCATATGATAACTATATATCGTCAGCTTGACGCTCCAAAATATTCCCACGTAGGATTTCCATTAGGCTATAAAAGGATTTCCACAAAGTGACAGTTAATAAATAGGGTAGACTTCTTTTCTGACCAATCGGAGGTTCTTTAGCATACCTTCCATATACACTATGAATTTGGACCCCTTCTACACTGTTAATTGATATTGGGATAACTTCAATGTAAACCTCGATAGGCCTTAAAAGGTACTTGAGGTATTTACCTGCCCTTGTGTAGAACCAGTCCTCATCGTAGGGAGCCAACTCGTTGAACTTTCCGAGCTTGACGATAGAAGCCCATTCTGGAATCTTCATCTTTCCAGACCTGAAAAGTGTATTGATAGAAACTTTATTTATTTTACAACAATCATGAAAAAAGTGATTGCAACTTATATAAATCACTCGTGTTGGGAGGATACTGGAGTACCGGAAGAAAGCCCATGTGGTCGAGCACAGTTAATTTAGGTGATTTTGGAGGTTTAAATTGATTTACCCTCTGCTTCAGGAATATTTCTATGGTTTTGTCATGATGCATGCAATTTAAGTGCCATTTTAATAAACTTTCACTTTTGTTCTCTATTCCAGTCAACATGTCTTTACATTAAAAATCTTCCAAAATGACGTTGAAAGGGATATTGTCGTCTCCTGAATATCACGTTCTTGCTTCAAATGACGAAGCTTGACCGACTAGTAAGTACCCACAGATTCACTATATCAGTATTTGGACATGAAAATCATGTGCATTTCCATATATATAGTAACTCTACATGAACCTGTCCAGTGAGTTAACATGCATGAATGACCATAGCTCATGCTGCATACACACCAATGCCTGGCGATAGTTAACTCATTCACCCCTGAAGGCACATTTGAATTCTTCCAATTAAAAGGTTGGAATAGTTCATTATGAAATTTCAGGGGTGAATGGGTTAACTTCATTACATGTACATTGTTCAGTAGGCTACATGGATACATTCTCAACAGAAAAAGGTGTCCGCTGTTAATTCAAAGATGTTTTATGTTTTATGTAGGAAAAAAGACACAGAATGGACAGTTTTCGGCCTTTCTCCTTTACTTAAATTTGCATTCATACATGCATGCCCCTTAATGTTCCACGTGACTGACCACCATATCATTTTATGTCTTCTGTTTCGGAAACAATGTATTTCAGTCAACTAAGACATACTAATAGCACCATCATGTCCTTTCCGATCTTTTAGTTATTCACTTCATTTTTATTTTGTTGAGGTCTTTCTTTGGCAGATCACTGACATGAAACTCACTTTTTAAGGAAGGCTGATAATGCCTTGGTGAATGTGTGGGAATCCACATCCTTCACGGAGATACCCATTTTGTTCTGAAATATAAGGAATACTTGAGATAATTCTACAACAAATATTACGGTGTTACAGTCAAGCAATTTTGCTACAAGGATAAATGAAGTAAACTTACAAGTCATTCATGATTCATATTCCAACATTTCTCGCTTTAGCGCGGTCACAATGTATCGGACAACTGGTTTATAACAACACAGGAATATCCAAAATATAATCATGATTTACGGTTGCACATTTATTCAATATTTTTTAAAAGCTGAATTTTCTGTTTTTCGTTGCAACACGTTTCTAGCCCAACAGATAACCACTCATAATCATTAATGCTATTATTAACGGTGGGAATGGGTAATAACGTCGCGATCAAAGATTGATTCAAAGAAAGATATAGAAACAAACATATCCTTCCCTTGTGGTTCATACGACACAATAAATCTTTATTACTTTATGGTAATTCCATGGAGGCCGCCATTTTTTCCTAAAACATGTGGACAGAGCCCGTTAATAAAGAATGTCATTTTGTGTTAAGTAGACAATTATAGATACTAATTTTTAGTTTTCTCGCTTTAGTATTAGCTTATGCTGTAGATATGTGGAGGATAATTGTTATATTAAATATAAAAGACTGTTAATCGGGGATTTTGTACACTGATAATAACCACTCCATGCTTACTTTTACGTGGTATCGAAAAAGAGGCCGAACAGGAACCACGTGAATCCAACGAGGGGCGATAACTGCGTTAAGGTAGCAGCACACAAAATCTCATCTCAATTTCATCTTTTAAAAAGAAACTTAAAAAAACCTTTGATACATCCGTCTCAGAAACTTTTATTAACTGTGTTCCGAGGAAACTTAACATAATTTTATGTCAGCTAAGAAATTTTAAAAGTGATCTTAACTGTGATAAGTTACAAGATCATCTGATTGATGATGCTTCCTGTGTATGTGGTGTACAGAGGGAAGATCTAATACATTTTTTCTTTCAATGTCCTCTGTATTCTAATATTAGGCATCATATTACCACTATTTATAATCTAGTAGGATATTTAAATCTGCACTGTTTAGTATATGGTATTAGTAATGCATCCAACCAATTAAATAAAACTATTCTTATACATGTTGACTCTTATATTAAATCATCAAAACGTTTCGTTACTTATACGTGCTAGATAAATTTCCAAATGAATATTCATGTATTGTTATAATTATTGTTATTCAGGCAAGTTTTATCCCTTAAATAACGAGTATTAGACATAAGCTGGTGTGGGTGTGGGTGTGCATGAGTGTGAGAGGAAACGAATCACAACATTTTATATATTTAAGCATTGTACATATCTACCGGAATTAGAAGAAGACTGATATAGGCAAAGCCTGTTGTCTTATTCTTTTGTCAATACTGTTCAAATATCTCCTTTAATGTTAACTTATATGTTTGTATTATATATGTATTGTTAATAAAAAAAACTTTGAAATTGAAAAATCTTCCTGGTCACATACAGTGCTAGTTTTTGACTGGACTATTATATTTCTAGCGCTGGTCTTGTACATGTATACACCAGTTGTGGGATTCTTCAGTATTTTAGGAAAATTATTATCACTCATATACGAAACTGTAGTATGCGTTGTTACCACGGATTTAGATAAGAGAAGTCCGTGGTTATTCCAACCATGAAGAGTAGAAGGTGCAAAAGAAGAATTAGTTACAAACAGTCTGAAAGGAAGAATCCTATAGGAGAGTTCGCAGTGACGTCACCAATAGGTCACGTGATATATTGGTTGGCGAAAAAAAAGGTTGGCTTGGGCCGTTCGCCGTTTACAATTACTCAGTAATATCTATAATAGCAATGGTTGTATCGTGTTGTGTTATTATTGTTACGTAAAGCGTAACGATTATTTTCTCCAGATAATGGCAGTAAAAGACGATTGAAGTAACCAGGAGTTAATTTATCATTCATCTTATAACACAGTTGAATTTTCCTCCGTTTCTGCGATTAGATAAAGTTTCAAGACCAGTTTCGTTATATAAAGTATTAATAATAGGGGTATAAGAAATACGTGCTAATATAATGCAAGCAGCTTAACATTGGGCTTTTTCTAAATAATTCGATCTAAATGAAGCACAAACAGAAACGTCCCACAACTCACAAGCATATTCTAAAACTGGTAAAATAAAGGTCTTGAAATTATCAAAAGAGCATCCCTACCTTTTTAATTAATTGATAAGTGTTCAGTTTCCGAAAGACATTATTTCCATAACAGCAGTGTAAATCCCATTGACCCCCACTTCGTATTTGAATTAAATGTTACTCCTAAGTGTTTATGATAATCTGTAAAGTTTAAGACTTTCTCATCAAATTCTAAATCTAAGTCTTCGTCGATATCAATGGAATGAGAAATAAATAATACACCTGGTTTTTGTTCATAATTAAAATTATCCAACTAGGATTTTGACCAAGTATTAAGGATCTCTAGGTCTCTATTTAAAGTTTCTTGAATTTCTAGACAGGGCGATGATGGCTTTGATAATGACGTATCGTCTGCAAAAAGACGAGACGTTGATTCAAAAATATCTGCCTTGTCATGAATAAATATAAGAAATAAAAGTGGTCGAAGATTAGAGCCTTGTGGAACTCCTGCCTAAGTTAGACCTACAGAAGAATATGAACTGTTGAACAAAACTTTGGTGCCCCCGAAGCAAATTATTTTCTAGCCATATTTATAAGCAATTCACCTTAAAATTCCGTACGATTTTAACTACACCATAAGACCGCTTTGCTAAACTCTATCAAAAGCTTGGGATATGTCACAGAATACAACACATGTATGTTTCCTTTCGTCAAGAGCAATACATATTTGGTGATAAATAGCAATGAGTATTTACAATACACTGTAGAATGACAATGCATTAAAACAGACTGATATTTGTAAAACAAAGAATTTTCTATAAATTAGTTTTACAAATGTTTGAAAATCACTCTTTCAAAGACAAGAGCTACTACTTATATGAATAGCTTCTTCCCTTCTACAATGGTAAAATGGAATGCACTTGATAGCACTGTACGAAACTCCATCTCAATTTCATCTTTTAAAAAGAAATTTTGATACATCTGTCTCAGAAACTTGTATTAACTGTGTTCCGAGGAAACTTAACATCCTTTTATGTCAGCTAAGAAATCTTAAAAGTGATTTTAACTTTGATAAGTTACAAGACCATCTGATTGATGATGCTTCCTGTGTATGTGGTGTACAGAGGGAAGATCTTATAATTTTTTTTCTTTAAGTGTCCTCTGTATTCAAATATTAGGCAACATATTACCACTATTTATAATCTATTAGGATATTTAAATCTGCACTGTTTAGTATATGGTATTAGTAATGCATCGGACATGTCACAGAATACAACACATGTATGTTTTCTTTCCTCAAGTGCAATACATATTTGGTGATAAATATCAACGAGTCAATACACTGTAGAATTACCATGCATAAAACCAGACTGATATTTGTAAAACAAAGAATTTTCTATAAAGTTGTTGTACAAATGTTTAAAAATCACTCTTTCAAAAACTTTTCCAACAGTGGACAGCAAAGAAATTGGTCTATAGCTCGAAGGAGAATGTCTGTCACCCTTTTTAAACAATGGGAAGTTATTAGCTAATTTCCTTTTCTTTTGATTAATCCCTGTTAATAAGGACATATTAAATATTATTTCGAGGGGAGTACAAACAGCGTTGAAATCAGCAGTGTTTCTTAGCATATGGTGGCTGATTCCATCCCCACCCGACGCCTTGCCGAGCTTCAATATATGTAGAACATCACGTATTTGTGTTGAATTTAATCTAATTGAACTCATTTGATGGCCAGTTTGTGTGTTTGCCACCCGACTACCAAATGGCAAGTTTTGGTTTCCTCAGATACATTACAATGGATAATATATACATTGATAATATATGTAAAAATGTAGTTAAACAATCAAGTGTCCTCCGTAAATTGAAATATACCCTGAACCGACCTACACTGAATAAAACATATAGAACATTTATACTTCCTATTCTAGAATATTGTTGTGAACTTTGGGATGGTTGTTCTATTACTGATTCAGACAAATTAGAAAAGCTACAACTTGAAGCTGGACGTATTGTCACTGGTTTACCGTCGTTTACTAGTAGACAATCTATATGTAATGAAACTGGATGGGACTCTCTAGCCCATCGGAGATCCCGTCGAAAACTTCAATTATTTTTAAAAATCCACAATAATATAGTTCCTAACTATCTCAACACTCTACTCCCTTCTCTTATCGATAGCTCTCACTATAATGTTCGAAACGCTGAAAATTACAACCTACCTAACATTAGACTTGGATTATCTAACGTATCCTTCTTTCCTTCTACTGTTAGACTGTGGAACCAGGGCCCACTTGTATAAAACATCTCAACTCTTGAGATTTCCTCAAGTCTAAGATTTTCCATAGACAATACATTGCTTGAGATTTTCCTTAACTTTGAGATGTTTTATACAAGTGGGCCCAGTTACCTACTAGTATACGGCGTAGCGCCACGTTCTCGTCATTTAGAAACGCCATTCAAGACGTAAACTTGCCTCTTGTACCAAATCCCTTTTATCATGGTGATAGAAAAAATAATAATTTGCATACAAAATTAAGAAACCATTCTAGTACTTTGAAAAGTGACCTGTTTCGTGTTAACCTTATTGATTACCAACGTTGTATATGTGGCTTCTCTATTGAAGACACACACCATTTCTATTTTACCTGTGATAAGTATAACGAACAAAGAATTAAGCTTTATCGTGAACTGAATGAATACATGCCTCTTAATTGTAATCTACTTTTATTTGGAGA